GGTCTGTATGTGGGATCTGAACCCTCGGGCGGGAGCGCCGCCGCGCTTCCCAAGCAGCGCATTTATCCAGTGCGCCACCAGGCCAGCCCAAGAATTTTTTTTTTTTTGAGACCAGCTGCACCGTGCTCAGCCAGTGAGTGCAGCGGCCATCCCTATATAGGATCTGAACCTGCGGGCGGGAGTGCTGCTGCGCTCCCAGTGCCGCACTCTCCCAAGTGCGCCATGGGCTCGGCCCAGTTAAGAATTATTTTAGTAAACTTTCCCTTTAGCTTTTCATGGGACTTTTTTGTTCTGTTATGTTTTTATTTTCAATGCAAATTATATTCTCTCCATTAAAAATTTTCTTTTAGAAATTTGTATTAACATTGTCCTTTTTAACTCCTTTGGTTTTAAAACAGGATTTAGGGGGATGGGAAAAGGAAAGTTTACAAAAAGAGACTTCTGTAGCCCAAAACCATGAAGCTAAAGAATGATCGATCTCTCCTCATTCTCTGCAGTTGTAGCTCTCAGAAGGAGCAGACCCTTCAGAATAAAGTCTCTCAATGTGGGTGAAGGATTACCTACTTCCTAGGTGCTCTCATCCATTGCCACTGCTTCAAATACTGCCTGGGAATATATCAGTAACTCCCAAGTTATCTCTCCAGTCCTACCTGATCTCAATCGTGAATTTCAGGATTGTGTGAAGTTTTAGGATACTTGGATATCATACAGGGATATCAGTCTTAACATGCCCCAACCAAGCTCTTGATCTCCTATTCCACACCCATTCTTCCCTTTCTCCAGTGCTCTGTGCTCTCAGTAAATCACGCCTCTGGCCCTCCAAGTACTCGAGGCAGAGAAATCCGAAGTCATACTTAGCATGTTCTTTATCGATCTCCGCATGACCCGTCAAGCCCATCACCAAGTCATGTTGAGTTTAATCTCCATTCATTTCTCTTTATCTTCTTTCCTCAACCCTACTCTGTGCTACTGTCCAGTATTGCTTGTGTAAGGTCAGTAGCTTCCTAATTGGTCTTTCAACTGCTACTTTGTCTTTGTCTTTCTAGTCCATTATCCAAATTGCAACCAGAGTGATATTTTAACATCATCAATCAGGTATATTGCTTTTCTGCTTAAAACCTTTTAGTGGCTTCCCATTTCTATGAGAATAAAGACTCACATCTTTATGGAGGCCTACAGGTTCTGCCTGTTTATTCAACCTCCTGTGGAGTTTCTGGCTCCTCACTGCCCCATCCACTCTGGCCTTATTTAGTTGCTTTAAAATACTAAATTTTTTTGGGCCGGGCCCGTGGTGCACTCGGGAGGGTGCGGCGCTGGGAGTGCAGCAGCGCTCCCGCCGCGGGTTCGGATCCTATATAAGGATGGCCGGTCTGGTGCAGGCCTGTCACAAAAAGGACAAAAAAATAAAATAAAATACTAAATTTTTTCTTACCTTAGGCATATACCCTCTTTTGCTATGCTCCTCCACCTGGTTAACTCCTGTTCAGAGTTTGGCTCAAGTGTTACTTTTCTGTCACTGAAACAGCTAGGTAGAAATGTGACAGTCTAAAGTTGAGACGAGGGCAGTATTCCTAATGTGCTTTAGCAGATGAAGAAGCAAACTGACTGCATTATTTTCCCCTCCAGAATACAGTAGGAGAAAGTGAGGGATACCAAAGAAAATGGTAAAGACATGGTGGGGGGTTATTGTTTGTTTATTTTTTGTTTTTTTCTTGGAAAGTTGTATGTGTGTGGCTGGAAAGATAACTGAGTATTTACAAAGCATACTTGGGCAAAATCAGGCCTATTCACCCAAAGAAAGAAAAATACTATAATAAAGAATATGATCAAAATAAATATATAATGATATATGATAAAAATATATGATATATGATAAAAATAATTAAGATGTAACAAATTTCACAGCATAATTTGATCACAGCCTAAACCCCAGAAGACATAAAAGTATTGAATTCAATCTGAAGTAAAGAAATATAGCTAAAAAGTTAGTGTAACTCTATGGAAAACATTCATCTCATTACATCAAAATATTATTTCTGAGTAGTCTACCTCTCCCAAAGAAAGTTTCATTCTTGAGAATAGAGTGTATGTATGACCTAAAATAAGATATTTAATATTTAAGTATATTTTATAATCAGATACCTATGTTACCACAAAGTGTAGAGAATATTTAAACATTCCACTCAAATAAAAAAATCTGAATGTGACTGTAAATGTATTTACATTCCAAATTTAGGTAATAGGTACTGGTATCTTCCTCTAGGATTTGGCCTTGCTTTTTAGCACATAGTTAGGAACTGTATGGTTGCCTTAGGACTAATTTTGGATGTCCTGGTGTTGTATGAGAAAAATTGGGGTGGGGGGGTCAGCTAAATATTATAAAAATGTTACCCTGAAATTATCTCAAGCTTGAAAATAGCACTGGCTTTGGGAAGAGTATTTCCAGAAGGATTTAAAATCGTCAGTAGCATTGTTGCTGTTGAACTGAAAGAGCTCGTAAAGTACAAGGGAAAGAGAGAGAGTGTGTAGACCTAAACCAGTTCAATGTATTCATTTTAAAGTTTAAAAATAAATAATGCTCTTAATTTAAAAAAAAACAGTGTGGATATTTTGAATCTTTATCTTCTTGGATGAATAATCTTGTGGTATCTTATAGCCCTGTTTTTTAGTCTGCTTTGGAAGTCATCTTTTAATCATTTTTAAATATCTCAAACTCTGTTATACAGTGTGGATATTTTGAATCTTTATCTTCTTGGATGAATAATCTTGTGGTATCTTATAGCCCCGTTTTTTAGTCTGCTTTGGAAGTCATCTTTTAATCATTTTTAAATATCTCAAACTCTGTTATGTGAAGAGGTTGTCTGCCTTCACATATTAGCAAACTGAGTATACCTATTGCGCTTAAAGAAATGGTAGAGTTTGGAGACCTTAACACTTTTATTTTTTCAGATAGTGAATATTATAGCTACCTTCAATGGGTTTCATACATTCCTGCAACAAGTATTTGCCAAGTACCTGCTAGACACACTGGGCAGTCATCCTCCATTTCTGAAAGTTAAATACTGAATTCTTTAATTTTTTAAATTTTTTAAAAATGTTTTATTTCACTTTTTTATTCTACATGTTTATGGGGTACAGTTTGCTGTTTCAGTACATGCATATATTGTATGATGATCCAATCAGAATACTTTGCATATCTGTCACCTAAACATTTATCATTTCTTTGTGGTTATAACATTCAAGATCCTCTCTTCTGGCTATCTTGAAGCAGAATTCTTGGCACTTAGAGAAAGATATATATTTAAGAGACAGGAAGAATAATTGTGCAGGGAAAAAAGCCAATAGTCGTTTGAGGGAAAGCAACAACAAAAACAGATAATTATGTTTAAGTAATTCTTTACACAGATGCTTTAAAAAATATAAAGGATATTTAGTTAAATATCCACTCAAATCAAAGACTCCTAATGCAACTGCAAATGCATTTACATTCCAAATTTAGGTAGTGGGCACTGGTATCTTCCTCTAGGCCTCATTTTTAAATTTAATATTTTGCCTTAGGAATAATTGCGGATACACTGGTGTCATACATCATTTTTCTCAGAGATACCAAACGGGCCTGTCTCAAAAAAATGGAATAAAATAAAGGAGAAACTAAATTAGTTTTAACTCTTAGAGAACTGCCACTTTGTATAATATACAAGAATGTCACAGTTTGTGTAGAGCGATTTCTTACAGTTGGTAATTTTTCAGTGTTGGTTTATTTTTGTTTTATTAATTCATTTTTCTAGCTTTTACTTTCCAAACTATTGAATATAAACTAAAATGAATGAACTAAATGCTAATTATGTTACTTGCTGATTAAATATTTAATCCCTAGTTTTCTCATATGAATAAACTTCTTTGTCGTCTTTCTTTCGTTTTTTAAATTTCCTTCTACCTTTTTTTCTTTTTTTTTCTAGGACCTGGGGATACCGAAAGTGGGCCATATGAAGCGAATTCTCCAGGGAATTAAAGAGCTTGGACGGAGCACTCCCCAGTCTGAGGTGTAATCATATTGGTGCTATTCCTGGGAAGAGAAGTAATTGCTACATAATACAAAGTGCTTGGAAGCAGTTGGCTGTTCTTGTAGTTTTCGGCATAGACAAGTGAGCACCACTGAAACACCTCTATAGCTTGCTATTTGCTGTGGATGAAAATTTTGATTTGAGGTATTAGAAAATATTTTTGTGCCAAAAAATACATTTCACAAAGCCATTTTCTTATTGTACAAACCTGACATGTTCAAATATGGTCACAACAGTAAATAAGTAGGAGGAATCTGAGATGATTGCATTGTCTAAAAGGAGGGATTGCAAAATGTTACCTTTCCTTAAATTTGTTGTGTTGGAAAGTTCTTACTGTGTAATCACATAATAATATGTGGCTAAAATTTTCTAGGTTTCATTATTGGAGGCATTGGCTTCTTCCTTAAAATCCTTGGTTAGGAAAATGAGATAAAAATTAAGATGTATTTTGAATATTAGATTAGTATCACCTCAGGTTCCTAGCACTCAGTGGTCAAAGAATGTGGTTAAAATCCATCAAATACTATGAATGAATGCAAATCTTACTGCACAGTGTTCCTGCCTGAATTCCTTCTTTTTCTTGCATGTCACATCCAATATTTCAATACTTTAGTAGCTTTAATGTCAGTTTTAATGGAATTTAATTTATTGCTACTCAAGTACCTTTTTGTTGGCTAAAGGCACTGCACTTTTCTCTTTTTTTAATGTGGATTTTGCATAAATATTATATACCGAAGATTTTGTGAATATGTGTCTGTGCCATAATCAACAAATGATATACATCTTATGCAAGTCAATTTTATTTTAACCTATCATAAGCAAGTGTACACAGTAAGAAAATTTGGGGGGTATTTTCATAAAATTACATTCTCCATTGCTTAACAAAATTTCTTACAGCTTTCCAAACTAAAATGTCCACATTTTGTTCCCATTTTTTCATTTCAATTTAATAGTGATTTAATGTTCTGTTTGAATTTCTAATATAGTAGACTGTTGACATCCAGGAATTCTCCAAGGTCTCAACTGAGGTTTGTATACCAGTTGGTAACCACTAGCTACAGTGACTTCTGACAGGTTTCCAACAGAAGAGATTTAAGTTTTTCTTAAGGGCTTTACATTATATTTATTATTATCTCACTTAATTCTTATATCCTATCAGGTAGAAATTATTTTCCTTTTTCTAAACTGTATGTCAGTGTAGCTCATTAGAAGTCAACATTACAATTATCAAGTCTTTGAAAGCCAAAGGCATGCATATCAAAAAGTCACAAAAATATCCTTAAATAAGCTTTCGTTAGCCATTAGGTACAAAAAAATAACTATAATATTTTTAAATGTTCTATATGAGAGAAATAAACAGGGTAGTGATCCAGTGGTGACAATTTTCATGAAGTAGCCTGCCAGGTGCTCAGTAAATATACATATACACACATATATACATATACATATATACATTTACACACTTACATACATATAGTCTTGAGATATAATAGCATTGATATTTTCTTGAAAATTATTTGCCCAGCGTGTAAAGAAAAATATCAATAGGAGAGCATTTAAAATGAACTACTGTCAGACATATTAGATTATCTCAAAAGAATTAAATTATTTGATCCTTTATTCTTATTTATAACTTGGGTATTTAACTACTAGTAAAATCATAAAATTTGGATATCTTAAAAATAAAAGAAATTTGGTTCCTGACCAAGTAGGTTTGACTACAAATTTTATCTAAGATGTGGATAAGTGGAAAATTTCCAAAGAAAATTATATCAAGTCGTTTAAAAGAGTAATAAGCTACTCACTTAATAATTTTAATTTTATCCACACTTACGAAGTTAAAGATTTTCATTCCAGACTCTTTTATAGTCCCCCAAATACCTCTTTGCCAATAAAAAAAATTCTTAAGGCATAAATGTTACATGTTTTGAATTTAAGAGTACAGTATAATGTAAATTATTGGATTTTTTTTTGTTTGATTATCTTTTCACTCTTAGGTAACATCTTTTATATATGCTTTAAAATCCTAGTTAATGGAATCCTTAATTGGCTAGAATTTTCCTGCAGATGGCTTTTGGATGAGCGAAATCCTTTAAAATGACAATTTGGACATATTCTTTTGTTAAAAGAGAGCAGTTTTTCCTGTAACCTTTGTCTGCCTGTGGCTGTGCAGGTGACTTCACTAACACCTGTCTGCCAGGATGGAGCCCTCAGAGCTTCTGTAAGCCCCTGTCAGTGTCACAGAGAAACCACCTTCTTACAGTAGATGGGAGTGACAAAAAAAAAGAGAGAGAGAGAGAGAGAGATTGAGAGAGAACTTCTCCGTGGGAAAGGATCCCAGCTCTGGGAAGTGCAGGAGAGGCTTCTGTGCTTGGATCCACGCCTAAGCAGAAGTGAGAAGCTCACACTGGCCCCTGACTGCCTGCTGCAGTTGTCCCCTCTTCTCCTGGCAGGCTCTCCCACACCTAGATGAAGGTGGGCAGGGGTCACAGCCAAAATCTATGTTCTTTCAGTTTCATTTTCCTGATGAAGAACTTGCTTTTTTTTTAAAAAAAGGGACAGGGTCAGGCCTAAGTAAAACTCTGGAGTACTCAATATTCCTCTTTGGTGTCCTTCCACCTCCCTTTCTGAGTTTCTTTCCCACAGTGATGGTTGCTTGGTTTCACGCTGCCATCTACTCTCCTTTTCCCATCAAGTGCCGCACTGCAAGATGACCCCTTTCACCTCTCCCTACCTTAAGCGTACATTGTGCATCATTTAGCTAAGTGTTAGGAAGTAACCAATTTAAAAAACTAATTTTACAGTTTGCTAGATAAGCTAAATGAATTGATGGATTAGATAACTTGGGGACTGTGATATATAGTATTCTGGCTGAGAAGAGGTGACCCTGAATGAATGGATCTATGCTATCTGATATTTTAGCCACTAGCCATATGTGGCCATTTAAATTTAAATTTAATTTAGTTAGAAATTCTGTTTCTCACTTGCACTAGCCACATTTCAAGTGCTCAGTAACTGTAGTGGACAGTACAGATGTAGAACATTTCCATTATTGCAAAAATTCTGTTGGACAGCACTGGTCTATATTGGTACTCAAAATGTGGTCTGTGGGCCAGCAGCATCAGTACGACCTGGGAGCTTACAGAAATACAGAATCTCAGGTGTGCTCCAGACCTACTGAATCGAAATCTTCCTTTTAACAAGATTACTCAGGTGATTAGCCCTGGCCTAGATCCATTTTATCCCTCCTAGATATTAGTGATCTGAGATCTGAGGTCTTCAGAATATCCTCAGAATCTCTAGTTCTCCAGCCTACCGTTTCTTCTTCATTCTATGGCTAATCCAGAAAAAAGCTGAAATTCATTCCTCACCCTCGCTGAGTTTTCTTCTCAATCTTGATTCTTAATTCTGGTTCTCAATGAATCCTACCTACCCAATGACTGTATTTTGATAGCTAATGTGGAACACGGGATTAGCCAACCAACACAGCTGGCCTCGCTCCAGCCCCCACTCCATGTCTGAGTCAGTAACAATCCACATTTTCTCAGTTTGTTGCTCATGGGACATGTTCATTTGTTCACAGCTTAAGTCACAGGGAACATTTCAGAAGACTGTATACTGAGTTAAAGACCAGGTCAGTCTCCTACAACCTGTACATTTTCATTTTCTCGTATCAGTAGATTATCGTGTTGACATAGTTCATGATTGAGGATACATAGCAGCACTCTCACATTGAATGAAGCATGAGGCATGTAAAAAGAAAAAAAAAAAGGAAAGAACCAAAATGGTTACAAGTAAAGTAAATGTGTCATGTGTCATTTAAGCCCTCAAAAAATGTATGTCTTGCTAGATTTAGATCTGTTTTTCTTATGCTCATTTATCTTGATTTTCACATCGTTAATAATTCCTTAAAATAGGGCCTGAAAAATAATGCATCATATTCTTGACCCCAAAAATACAAATTATTTAATTCCATAGTAAGATCTTTCCCAATGTCTTATTGTCAGGAATCCTTCACTTAATAATTTTTACATATTGATACAGTTTACCAAAATGTAGTTGCCTTGAGATTCTTTAGCTTATTTTTATGAATAAAGAGAGCAGCACTATTCAAGCCTTCATGGAAGTCATTTTTAACAGGAATTGAGGAAGAAAATATTCATTTAAAGCTATGACTTAGAAAATTGTAGAGTTACCTCTATACTTCTAAAGTAAATCATTTTTATCCCCAACTGGGCTGACAACATAGTGGATTTACATGTTCTACAGATGTGAATTCTTTAAGGATATAGCTTTTAATTAAGCTCTAAAAACAATACATCTCTCAATCTTGATGTCTAGGATCTCTCCTGTCCCGCATCTCCAACCCCCACCCCAATGAACTCATCCTACATTTTTCAGATGCAGGTTGGACAAGATAATGGGTTTAGGGTTTGATAATACAAGTGGTAGTTTTAAAACACCAAATTATTTAAATCAGCTGAAGTGAAGAATGAGAAGTGAGAATTTCTCAAATAGTAACTGTTGACAAATGGACTAGCCTCTGGGAGTGGTTCCTACAGTGCTTGGTGGCCCCACTTCTCCCTCCCCTGTCATCACCCCATCCCAGTGCAGTGGTGCCTGGGACTTGTCTCTGCTGTGGCATCCCCAGTGGACTTGTGTGTAGTAGTCTCTGTGTCAGATCAGCAATAGGATGCCTTTGCAATAGGATGCCTTCCGAAAGAAACCACCAAAACTTTCAAAAGGTGATTATTGGCTTTTATAATATGCAAAGCATTAATTTTTCTCACCTTTATTATGCTTTTCTGTTTATTATTTTTATCCAAGTTTTGTTTAGAGACATTTATGTTAGAAGAAAAAACTATATAGGTTTATCATTATAGAAAACAGAGAGATGATAGACAGCTGGACTGTACCTATTCGTATAATTCTTTCTGTTATTTTCAGGAAAAGAAGCTTAACAGAGTAACTGAGACTGGGTTAAACTCAGCAACAATGTTTAAGAGAAACCCCATATTACGTGACATAGGTGAACAGGTTATTCCCCTTTATGTAACTAAGATATTCTATTTACATTATTTATATACTCTCTTAATTTTTTATGCACTTCCAAGTTTTAGTTGGGAAAACAAAAACCAAACCACTACTTTAAAATTATAAAAACTCCACATAAAATATTTCATTTTAGCTACAAGTTATTCATTGAATAGGAATTTATAAATACTTTGGGTATTTCATAGGAACTGCATTTCAAGAGTAAATTAACTAAATCTAAGGGAACATAGGGTTATTGTAAAAATGCACTAAAATAAAGGAGTTTCATACACAGTAGATAATACCATTAAAGTAAGATAATGCAGTTAGGTATACAAGCTAAAAAGGAAAAAGGATATATTTTGTGATCCGTAATGTTTGATTGCACTATTGGTTCTCACAGCTTAGCCATATCTATTTCTATATTCTAAGTATTAAGCTGATATGTAGCTAAAGATTTCTTACAGTTCTGGTAACTGGTGACTAGTACTGTGAAGGTTTCGGTATTGTAACATT